TTGGCTACACAGATGCCAATATGGTGTCACTTTGTCTTCACCACTCACAGAGGCTTTTAAATATAATACAAGAAAGGCAGCAAAAAAGATTTCAGTGGTGTAGTCTACATGGCTTTCTGTCAGAGTAACTTCTCAGATTTTTCTGAACTACTAGGCAAATGCATACAAATATATGAAAAATATGAAGGGTCTGGGTGCTGGAAATTTATTTTTTATTTCTTTTTGTGCAGTGTGCAGTTGAGGGGACTTTTGGACTCCATGACAAAGATTACACAAATAGTGAGGGCAGGGGAGGTGGTTGCCTTGGGACCACCAGACAGATAGGGCCCTGAGATCCTCCTTGCCGTATACTTTGCCCCATACCATAAATTGCACAGATTAATCATGAGAACCATAAGCACATCATGCAAGAAATTCTAGCATAATTAGAATTTAAAACTCATGTGCAGAAAGACAGCTTGACTGGTAATGGGCATAATTTTAGGATGGTACAAGCATAGTCAGAAGTTGTTCATCAGTAAAAATACATAAGTTAATAAACTAAGATGCTCTTGAACTCTTAATAGTAAAATTTACATTTCTCAAAGCATGGCCTCTTTTCAATGTCCCCTTTTTTGTAATTTGTTAAATATACATTATTTTCCATATAAATTAGGTGTTATTTTTCTTTTCACCTTGTATGGAGATACATAGTAAACTTTTTCAGAAATTTTTTTTTTTAATTTCATTTATGGCTTGCTTTTCTATTCTGGCAAATTCTCAAAAATAGATTAAACAGATCAGGAATGCACTGTTATTCTGATAAATGCATGCTTCTTATACAATTACTCAGTGAAATATTCAGTGAAAAGAATGTAAGCTGCAAACAAAGAACAGTAATTTCTTTGATTACTCCAAATATGTTGAGACAAATGTATCTAAATTTGGGGAAGGACTTAATCTATATTTGGAAATTTTAAAAGAAAGTCTTTGTTATAATTCCACAGCTTCTAATGTCATTACAAAGAAAGCACACTCATAGAAAATTAGGCAGGGAAATCAGACTGCCAGTCATTACTAAACCACAAATGTCTGTGATTCATTTAAAAATTATTGATGGTGTTTAACAATACTAACGTGTTGTTCAATGACACTGCAGAGATACAGAAAGGAAAAATTTCAGAAGTATAAAATGCTATTCATGCATTTGTAGCAAATAAGTATTTTTAATATTGGTGAGATGCTCTTTAACTAAAAGAAGTGGGTGAAAAAAGGTTATGACACTGTGATGGAAAAGAATGAAATGCTTTCGGCAAGTCATCCATATTTGAGAGAGGAAAGCACTGATGCTATGACACCTGAAATTTGGTGCCTGGTTTTTGTTACCAATGTTCAGGAAATATTATTTTATAATTAAACTATTTTTAAAAGGCAGAAGTAATAAAATAATTGTAAACATGGATTGGAACATTTTAAAACTATAACTATACAGCCTAGAAAAAAATGGGAGAAATGAAGTGGTTAAAATACAAAGATTTGTTAAATTTTGAGGAGGGTGAACCAAATTTTAAAACAAGAGAACAGTTAGAATTAGAAGGCTTTACATGTCATTGATTTACTTATATGCAATTGTTTGAATGTTTTAAGTTGGACAAAGAGGATTTTAGATTTGCTAATGAAATAACTTACTTTGAGATTCAACTTTGTACAAAGGATGTACATGTTATTGCTAAGATGTATAAGATGTTGTTACAGATGAATCTGGAAGATGAAA